TAAACACCGATCACACATTTCATAGAGAAACTGAGTACCAGCGAAAAGGATGCTCTGAATATCAGATTTTTTTTAAATGTGATCTAGACTATAAACAATGGCGTAACTATATTACCTTTGGGGCCTTGGCAAAGTCATCGGATGGGCCCCCGTTCCCAAGAATAACAAAGTAGTTATAGATGAAAACCTTTCAGAGCTCTTCATCTGGCCGGCCAGGAGCCCGTTCCAACTGGGGCCCGTGGCATTTTTTCGACTTACCACCCTATAGTTCCGCCACTGTCTATAACCTGTCTCACAAACTCTTTTAAGTATAAAGAAGGTGCATTCCCTTGTCTGTGAAGCCAGTATTGGTACGTCACGGGTTGTTGACCTGCATACTTTTTATATTGTTTTCTTTTTATTTTTATTTTTCAATGTTTATGTTGTGTGTTAATTTTCGGTGGTCCATGTCTGGTGGCGAATAAATCTTCTTTCTTTCATACATACATAAATTCACGCCTGTCTCCCATAGTGGTAGGCAGAGACTATGAAACGCCTTTCTATGGAACAGGAGTCAAACAAGCAGACGGATCAACTGATGGTAAGCGATCAGCGCCGCCTATGGACACACCAGAGGAGTCACAGGTGCGTTGGTGGCATTTTAAAAAGGAATGCGCTCTTTTCTTGAAAGTTTGAAGGTCTGTTACGATTCTTATTGTTGACCTACCTAACTTACATAATACATTTGCTTTGTTTGTTTTTTTTCATCATTTCATGTTTTACAAGCCAAGGTTTAGCGGTAATGACACTACAGCCGGTAATTTCACACGGAAATATCAATTTCGGCCACAGTATTGTGAACAAAAACAAAACCAGTATGCGAACTGTAACGAGGATTCTGGTTAGAATCTGATCACAATGATAGACAGGTTCCATCGTTATTCAGCCTCTCAGAATTACTTTTTTTATTTTTACTTAGATAATATCATGTTGCGTTTTGTTGTATAATAGGCGATGTAACGACTTAGGTACTTCCTATGTCTATTTTGTGCAAAATTGTGGGTGTAAACATAACATAACATAACATCACGCCTTTTTATCCCTGAAGGGGTAGGGCAGAGGTGCACATTTCGGTACTTAATGCCACTGTACAATGTAACACTCACTTTTCACTATTTATGTTATGAGTCCCATGTAATAGGGGGTGAGCCTATGGCCATATACCGGGCACATTTCCAGACTCCGTGCTAATACTGAGATTTTTAAAAACCCAGTAATACTTTGCCCGACCCGGTACTCGAACCCGAGACCCCTTGCCCGGCAGTCGCACTTGCGACCACTCGGCCAACGAGGCAATTTGTGTGTAAATTAACATAAAATATAAGGCAATAAAATTGTAAACTTTTTAAATACTTGATTTAATTCTAAATAATGATTTTTTTTTAAGGGGGGAAAATCATCGAATGACTGCTCCCGCCTGGGTGAGGCGGAAGGGAGTGTCAGACTCTTACTGACTAAAAACCACCCCGTTCCTTCTCCTGCACGTCGAGCCGGAGCCCCGGTTACCCGTTAGGTTCTCCGCGACTCTAAATAATGATAATGTGTTACATGGAACTCAAAACGTGGGTGTTTCATTGTAAATGTGTATATAGATATATGTACCTATATCTGTTTACCCCTTCAGGGATTCAAAAGGTGTAGGGTTTGTTACGATATCATTCATTCTAAATAGATACAGGTAGGTAATAATAATAATATTGTGAGTATTTGCAACAGATTGCATTACAGTTAGAAACAGGCACTTCTACAGAGAATATCGACATTATATAAAGGTACAGTGGCCACCAGATGAAGCTATGAAATTCATTGATTCGATTTTAAACTTTATGTCAATACAATAAAGTTGAAGAAGTAATAGAAAAAATCGACAAAAAATGAGAGGTTGCCCTACTGCCCATCGTAAACAAGGTGATGAAAATAACGTCATCACTTCTATCTTCGCTCAAAATCAAAATAATACAACATAATAACTATTTTTTTGTTAAAAGAAATCTGTAACTAACTAATTGACTAGTAATTCACCAATAGTAGGTACCTACATTTTATTAAGTTGTCCTTGTAAAAACCTAAGATATTTGGAAAACAGCAGGTGTACTACCTAATTACGAGGTTACTGGGTCCTGGCCATGGATGTATAGATTCTGCCTTGACCTCATTTATTCCAATAAACAAAATAAAGTTTAGCCTTGGTACAACTAACACTACTCTACATCCTTACTAATAAGTATTATAAATCGGAAAGTGAGTTTGTTTCTTTGTTTGTTCCACTTTAACGCCGTAACTACTAAACCGATAGCTTTGAAATTTTGCAGACGTAAAGTTAGAAGTCCGGAATAAATAATAGGGAATACTTTTTATCCCGGAAAAATTTGATATTCCCGAGTGAAATCAAAAGTATTGGTATAGATGGCGCTGTGTGTAGGTATTGGTATATGTCACATTGGCTTTTTATCCTTTTGTGACGCGAGCGAAGAATTCAAAGCAATCAGTTTAGAAGTTACGGCGTGAAAGCGGAACAAACAAACAAACTCACTTTTCCATCTAATCTTTAATCCAGTCTGTTAATCTTTTGAACTCCTCTTGTTCAACTGCAGAGAGAGCTCGCCTTTTGGCTGTGGGTGAGTGGGAGTCGGGGTTATGGCTTCTTGCTTTACCTTCGTCTAACCTAGGTACTTTGTTGGACGACACCACGTTCCGCGCTGCAATTTGTTTAAGGCTTGGAGCTTCATTTTGTTCACCTCATCGTTGTCGTTGTGGTGAAGTTGTCAACAGCCTTGGACACCACGGCTTGTCATGTAGCCGTAGTGCGGGCCGTTTTGCTCGACACGCAAGTATTAATGACATAATTCGTCGAGCTCTTGCCTCCGTTGGCGTGCCAGCTACTTTAGAACCTAATGGCTTGGTACGCGACGATGGCAAGAGACCCGACGGTATGTCATTATTCCCTTGGAAGATGGGTAGGGCTTTAGTATGGGACGCCACTTGCGTTGATACTCTGGCACCATCCCATCTTCCAAGCTCAGCGTGTCGACCCGGTGCTGCCGCTGCCGCTGCCGAGAACCTCAAACGGCGAAAGTATAATAGCCTGATTGGCAATTATGCTTTCGAACCGTTTGGGGTTGAAACTTTAGGGCCGTGGGGCCCAAGTGCACATCTTCTTTACAAAGATATTGTAAGGAGGATGGTTGACACTTCAGGTGATCGCAGGGCTGGCTACTACCTTGGGCAAAGGTTAAGCATTGCCATTCAACGTGGCAATGCTGCCAGTCTTTTGGGCACCCTACCTCACGGTAGCGATGAGGAAAATATTTTCTTTGATGCCTTATAATTTTCTTTTTTCATTATTATTATTTTTTCATTAGGTATTATTATTTTTTCATTATTATTATTTTTTAAGGTGTAAATATTTTAGTTTTAATTATCTTTTCCATTTATATAAGGATTACATATTTAAAAAAAGCAAAGTTATACTGATAACTAAGTAATTACATTAATTTCTGGCTGTGCAAGACTTTAAAACTAGCACAAACATGAAACTTTTTATTTCATCAATAAATCAATCGATGTAACGAATATTATTGCGTAACTTTCACTATTTAAAACCTAAGGACTCATACATAATGTCCACTTTTACTAGATGATCTATTTATTAAACTACTAGCTTCTTCTTCTCTCTTATTTAGTGTCAGTTATTTAATACACAATAACAAAATTCAATGCTTAATTATTCAATTGAATTTTGTTTAATATTCAGTAAACAATGTATCACGCATTGCACTTTGTTCAGTGTTGCTATATACAAGGCCTTATAATACAATTAAAGCGCGCCAAATGTCACCCGGTCATGCACAATCAAATTATAGATCGACATTTGCCTGTAGATAAGTAGCACACAGCGGTCAGCTGGTTTATTTGGCTACGGTCTACATAAATTGTAAACGAAATACGTGCCAACTTCCGTATTTTTAGGTCGTGTGTTGACAAATCGGTTCTGTTTGTATGCTCTGCTAATTAAGCAGCTACTAAATTCGTCCTCCGTTAAAAGCCCACTGTGAAAATTTGTTAAATAATGCCCCTGTTGACCTGTTGTGAACATTCGAGGCTGCTCATTAAAAGTTCTGTAGATAAGGACAGCTCAGGACATTTATTATTTCCACTCTTGGTAATAATGTTAGATGTGACATTAGATGTGTGAAAATTATTCTAATTTCTATAATTAGGTAAGTACCAATTAAACTTTTCTCTCAATGTGTAAGTGTAAGGAAGGACGTTGAAAAGTATAAGTATAATTGAATCTTGGCGCCTTTTATGCGAATGCGATAAGAGATGGCAACACTGTCAATCGAGTATACGTTCAAAAATACTCACTGGAATAATTGTGCTAATGTTTGGTACAACAAATGATGTTTTATAAATTGCCTTTATAATTATTTATTTATTTATTTACATATTTATTAAATAAATAAAATAAATTTCTTCTATCGAATAAATCGACTAAATTATCGCAAATTGTCAAAAGTGACACTGAATACAAAATGGCTGACGTAAACATGGCGTCTTTGTAACTGAAAGTGACGCTTGTCTAAATAAATTTATTTTATTGATTTCAGGTTATTGGATACCAATATATCCATTTAAATATTGAAAACAGCAGGTAAGTCGTGTAGTGCTACTTGAAATTGCCAAGAATTTGGTTATTGTGCCATACACAACTGTTGATCTTGATTCTTAGCTGACCGGCAGTCGTCAGCGTTTTACGAAATTATGCGCTTTAGTTTTGCAAAATTAAACTAGTAAAGTTATTATAAACTTCTTATAGAATCATAATACGCTTATAAGCAAAATATTTACGTGTATAATAGACTGTTTTCTTTCAATGTTTAGTCCATTTAGCAACATTGTATATGGCAGCAGAACCATACATTTAGATATTATATTTTGTTTCAGGCAGAGCCCCTGCCATGGCTACACCAAACAGTTATAAACAGAGCCCATCAATGTCGATGCCAAGCCCTCAAAGCAATCCGCGTTTGTATTCCATACACACTTTATTCATAATAGATTGTAAAAACAAATAGCAAAGCATAGATAACAGTTTGGCCGATCATACTTACAGCATTCGAGACTGTTCTCTCTGGATGTTATTAATATTGTTTCTAGAATGTTGTTAGATACTAACTGTATAACCTGTATACCTGATTTCGATGCCTATGCAAGCTTAGCAGGGCTGAGAACCGTTGTTGGTATTGCTGGTACCTAACTGCTGTTACGTCCCTCGGCAGCATGACTCCAATTCTATGCTTGTTTATTTTCAAAGTATATGCATTAGTAACTTACTTTTTATTTTCTCTTTAATTTGTTCTTTACGCATTAGACTACATTTTACTCTTATGTTGGTTTTGTTTCATGTTTTGTTATGTTGAAACAGACTACATGATTGCGGGGCCCCCCATGAGTTTCGGTATGATGAAAGGTAATGCCACAATCTGAATTATTTTTATTTTCAAAATTGTTCTCACACCCTCATCTGTTTTGGAAATAGGTACTCTGTGGGGATTTAAAATTGTAATTGCACCAAAATTTTTCTCGTTTTCACATCACAAGTCATTGTTTCACACGGTCTGTATCTCTTGACTCTTGACTCTTGATACTTTCTGCTACTGAAGCCTACTTAATACAACTCGCTAGTACTGCTCGCTCTCACTAATAACTTCCACTTAACATTATGATTTGAATTTATTTAGATGTTGTGCATTTGATTATCTTTTGTTTGCCCTGCCCTTTCCTGTCCCATTCCCTTATGCTTTTTGTTTTTTTTTCTTTCATTGTATTGCCGCCCCGCTGCTTGGCTTGAAGGCGGTATGAATGCACCGCCGCCGCACCATAACCAATACCAGTACCACCACCCGCAATACCAAGGTGGTCCCTCGCTGGGCCACCCGGGGGGGTACGGGGGCTGGGCGCACAGTCCACAGCAACGTTTCGGTGCAGAGGGCGCGCGCCGCGCCGCCGGCGCCGCGGTGGCAGGCACCGCCGCCCAGGCCGCCAAGGACGATAAGACCAGTCCCTTTGTATCCACGGTACATTCACATCCTGGATTTCAGCCGCAGAAGATCGGCAAGGGTGCCGGCGCGGTGAGTCGAGTATATTGGGTAATATTTTGTGTGACTATTCGTAGAGATGACAAGTTTTTTGTAGTTGTTGCTGGTTTGTTATGTTCTAGTATTAGTAATCTATCATTTGTTAACAATATTGTGACTTTTATTACAGCAATCTTACTCCACCAATCCTAAATACATACTAATATGTCTTTTACACATATTCCAGGGCGCCGGTCTGCCAAAGCCCCCAAAGCCGCCAGAAAAGCCTTTAATGCCCTACATGAGGTACTCCCGCCGCGTATGGGATACTGTAAAAGCGGCTCATCCCGATCTAAAGCTATGGGAGATAGGCAGAATTATTGGGGGCATGTGGCGAGACCTGCCAGAGACTGAGAAGGCTGGATATGTTGATGAGTATGAAGCCGAGAAGGTATGGATCCTCTTTCGTTTTTTATATACTTGGTTATCTACAATTTAAAGTATTTTTCAGAGTAATTTTGTGCATACATAACATATCATTTTAGATTGATTACAATTAAATAACTAAATATAACCTAAGTTTGACAATATTCTTTTATTTTAACAAAGAACAAAATTACTGAAATATACTTCTCTATTACAAAATACGAATATGTGTGCCCTTCTTGGATATAAAAACCGAAAAGGTTGTTTATATCACATTTAAAAAAAAGCAGAGGCCCATAAAGTAGCAATCAACTTTTCAATACCATAGAGGTTAAAATAGTTGTAAAACCTCTTTCATTCAGGCGCAGTACACAGAAATGTTGAAAGCTTACCAATCCTCGCCCGCCTACTTACAGTGGCTGGCTCACAAGTCTAGAGGTACAATATGAACCCTATGACCCTATACATTGGGTACAACTTTGTGCATAATCCACGCCATCACGACAGTGCTTGTTTTAACACTGGGTTTTTGAGTTTTTGAGCTCTTGCTGTTTTGTGTAATTGTTATTTGTTGTGTTTAAATATTGAGTACAGAATGAGAAAAATAAAATAGATAAACATAAAGACCTAATTATACCAAACAGAACTAATTTCACACCACTTCATGAATGTGTTAATACAATTTCAATCTCTATTAATTTTAAAATACATATTTGCACATTCAGCACAATGCTGCAGATTTCTATTATTGCCAGAACAAAGGAAAACTTGGAGTAACTGTAGTGTTATTTCATTATTTTACAACAGTGCATTCAGTTCTAATGAGATATAGTTTATAATAATACAAAAATTCCATTTACAAATTATTTTTATTATCAATTAAAGTCAACAAAACTATTCTACACACAAACAGCAGTAGCACAAAACATGGGTGACCATTGTGTGAACAGACCGGGCATAATGTTCGACAGCTAGGTACCATTAGAGTCACTGTATATTACTGCACCAGGGTACAACCATTATTCATAGCTAAACAAATGTGCTCCGTCCCCTTCCTGGTGGGAGATTTGTGTCTAGTTTTTATTTGTTCCTGATTTGGAATTGTGTGTACTTATGACTATCTTATTACAAATATTCCTTCAAAAAGTAGACGGCTGTGAACAATATTGCTTTGTTTGATGTCAAATATCGAATTTGTATAATCTCTAATGTCTCTGAATTCTAGCCCTAAGATATATATTATGTTGATTAAAATACTTAATTTATTTTGATTTCGGAATCTTAAAAGATTCTAAGGTCAAAATTCAAAAGACCTTGGGTGTTAAAAAAATTGTCCCTTTTTGCTTATCGATACAGTTCGAAAAGGTATGGAATAATTGTATAACAATAAACCTTAACAATGTGTCCTCTAATATTACAGGACCGCCGTATATCATTAGTTGTATATAAATAAATATAGTAAAATTGACACACGTCCACTCACTTCCAAATCAGAAATGTGACTAACACGCACACCGTTATAAGTAACGCTATTTTATCCTTCACATGCACGCCACCTCATATATTTGCACGCGGATCCATCTGACACCGACAGTTGGAGTATGAGAAAAGTCTGAAGGCATACCACAACTCGCCCGCGTATTTAGCATATATTGCGGCGAAAAATAAAGCTGTAGGTAAGGGATATTCAATGAGGTTGCATGCACAATCGTTTGCAAGATTTGGTAGTATTTATTTTTTCGTTGTTGGCAATTTTTTGTTCAGTGTTGCCATGCTGTAAGATATTTTTCTACCATATCTAGATTAAATGGTAGCTTTTATCGGTTATTTAATAAGTTGAACTAGAATTTAATATTAAAATATTTCTTTTATTTTTACAAAGGCTATGTATGTGTTCAATGTTGTCCTTGTTTTTTGTGTAGCTTTAAATGCTTAATGTTATAGTAATATCGCAGTTATAAATGCCCATGTTTCATATGCAATTGTAATGTTAAAATATCAAATGCATCTTGCATGTATCTATGTGGTCGCTTTAAATTTTTTTAAAGGTATAAGGTTCGGATTTTAAGACTTTCGTTGTGTCAGCAGTAGGTAATCTTGAGGAGGAGACCTCCAGCAAGAAGGGCAGTTCACAGAAAGAACAACAGCAACAAGACAGAAGAATTGATATACAACCTGCTGAGGATGAAGAAGGTAGGTTTTAAAACTATTTCTATTTTTTTTTAATTTCACTGTATCGTGGGTGCGTTTACAAACATACAAATTCAAATTCAAATTCTTTTATTGCATATCATGTGTACAATTGGTGTTATATGAGGTACAGTATCAACATGAAACCCGGCTAGGGCACGGCAACATATAAAGCAAAAATATAATCTAATTAAACTACTATCAATACTTATTATATTATAACATAAGAAATGTTGTTTTCATTAAACATTAAAATATTATCTTTATTTTATTATAATAATGTAACAATACACATCATCACGGGCGGGCGCAGCGCGTCATCGCCCGGCGTCACTGCCCCCACCGAGCGCCCCACCGTGGACCGCCGCCGGCCGGCGGGCCTATATAAGACGGCCCGGCGCCACAACGCGAGTTAGTATCCACTGCGCTCGCAGACAGCTTCAACCTCTCTGGTTGGACTGCTCTGGGAACCAGCTCGCCTACTAAATTACATGTACTGTGTTTACGAACCAGTTGTTGATACTTTGTTAGTGTAAAATTAACGCATTAAAGAAGACATTAAATATTTGTAATCAGTGTTTAAATTAAACCTGTTACAATCTGGCGCACAACGTAAGGCCGAATCCAGGCACCAAAGTCAAGAATTTACGACCACTTCCACATCGAAACCTCAAAATGGCAATGTCAAATGAACAGTTCCAGCAGCTACTAAGTACGATCCTGGCAAGCAAACGGGGAACGTTTGCGTCCTGCAGCAATGTCACGTACAGCGGGAAAAAGGATACGGATGCAGTTGAAGCGTTCATAGCCGCAGCAACTGTTTACAAAACGGCAGAAGGGATTAGCGACGTCGACGCGTTACAAGGTCTTCCACTACTGCTTACAGACGAAGCGGCAATATGGTGGCAAGGAGTGAAAAGCAGCGTATCGCAATGGGAAGTTTTTTGTGAAAAACTGCGACACACGTTTGCTCCCAAAAAACCTGCATACATGGTGTGTCATCAAATAACACATGAAACACAAGAAAGCAGTGTAACAACAGAGGCATTTATCGCAAAAAAGCGGGCAATGTTTGCCTTGCTACCACCACCAAAATTTACTGAAACGCAACAAATAGACCTCATCTTTCCGCTAATTCGCCTCGAAGTGAGAAACCGAATGCCACGAGACTCGGTGCCAACATTCGATAAACTGTTGGAAACAGCACGTGGAATCGAGGAAACGTTACAAGAATATGCAGTGAGCTCGAAATGTTCAGAATTCAGCGTTAATAATAATCCTCAAGGCAAGAAACCCAAGCAGAAGTGCACTTTCTGCAAAAACCCCGGTCATACAGCGGACGTGTGCAGGAAGAAGAAACGGGCTGAGGGCACTCTCCCCGTCCCTGTAAAGGAGGTGTCGGAAATTCAAACTCAAGCGCCATCTCCTTCTCAGCCAAAGTTTTCATGCTACGGATGCGGCGCACCCGGAGTATATCGTAGTAGCTGCACCACGTGCAACAAGCACGCAGCGCTAGTCAAGAAGGAAGACGTTAGTTTCTGCGCAATCAACGTTCGGGCGGAGGAACGTGAACGACCAGTTGTATTCCTTGAAATTGAGGGAATTAAAGGAACCGCCTACATTGACACATGCGCAAAAATGAGTGTTGCCAGCTACTCGCTATTCTTGGTCCTGCAAAAACGTGGATGCAAGTTTAAGGAACAATCAGTAGACCTAACATTAGCTGACGGCGTGAAAAAAACACAAATAGTGTTGAAGTGCACCGTGATGGTGGAATTAAACGGTCGAAAGGTTCTAAACCCATTCATCATATTACCAGAAGCAAAAGAGAACAAAACTCTTCTTGGTGTTGGTTTCCTGCAGGATGCGGGCATCGTCATAAATATGCCTCAATTCACCTGGAATTTCATTGATGAACCCGACATGCATTATGAGCTGTACTCGGAAGAGTTTGCCAACTTTGAGACCACTGTCATCAAAGAAATGACGGAAATATCAAGTCCAGTCAGTGCCTTATCATCAACCAACAGTGAAGATTCCACTAGTATTGCGTCGGTGATACTCACCCCTCCATCAACACCCCCGCCAACAATGGTACCAGCCCTTACCGGTAATACACCAGCGATGTCAACGCCACCAGGTGGGCAAAACGGGGATTATAAACTGGCACCTATAGACCTGGCTGCCACCCCCCCATGTAAAAAAAGGCCACGCCTGTTTGATGGATATTCCCCAGGGTTTGACGACTTCATGTTGCGGGACGCGCAGATAAGCATTCACCGAGCAGATGTCGAATTGTCCCCACAGAGTGCCGGCTTATTTAATGCTAACAACTGGGACGTGCGCATTGACTCCATTGATGTGGTTTCACCTATAACGGATACCCAACACGAGCAGCTGAATAAGCTCTTACAAAACAACTGCCACGTCTTTAATACGAAGAGTGAACCTACAAAGTTGATAGAACATATTATCAAGACAGTAGATGAAAAGCCAATCTCAGTCCCGCCGTACAGACTGTCGCCACCCCGTAAAGAAACCTTACAGCACGAAATTAAAGCAATGCTGGCGGAAGGGATCATTCAACCGTCCACGTCTCCCTGGGCCGCACCTGTAGTTATGATTCCAAAAGCAAACGGAAGCGTCCGTGTTTGTGTGGATTACCGTCGTCTCAATGCAGTAACCATACCCGATCCGTACCCTATTCCAAGGCTTGATGACCTCTTACATGAAGCGAAGCCAACGCCTTTCATGTCCCTGTTGGATTTGAGAGCTGGATATTGGCAGATTGGAGTACGTAAAGAAGACCAAGACAAGACAGCCTTCATAACGCCTTTTGGCTTATTCAAGTTTACTCGAATGCCATTTGGGTTGCGGAACGCTCCAGCTACATTCCAGAGATTAATTGATCGAATGCGCGTAAGCCTACCGACTGTAAAGCTGCTAGCTTACCTAGATGACCTTGCCGTTTTCTCTGAATCATTCGAACGTCACTTGGGAGATTTGCAAGAAGTGTTCACTAGACTTACAGAGTTTGGTCTAACAGCAAATAAAGAAAAATGTAGATTCTGCTGTTCATCTATGAAATATTTGGGTCACTATATTACACCGGAAGGGCTACAAGTGGACCCAGAGAAGACTGCTGCTGTCGTGAGTCTTCCAACCCCCTCCAGCCTTAAACACCTTGTTTTTCCTACAAACTTGTTCCTGGTACCGAAGGTTCATCAAGGACTTTGCGAAGATTGCCGAGCCCTTGACTCGCTTAACGAAAAAGGATGCCAGATGGCAATGGACGGAAGAACAACAGAATGCATATAATGAATTAAAGCATCGTCTAACGACCACCCCAATACTAAGACAGGCTGATGAAAACAAACCCTACATAATAAAAAGCGACGCAAGTTCGTATGCGATAGGAGCAGTTTTGGTCCAGGGGGAGGGCGAGGATGAGCACCCAGTTGAGTTCGCTAGCCGACTCCTGACATCAGCTGAACGTAATTACTCAACAACAGAAAGGGAAGCACTTGCGGTTGTTTGGGCAGTATCAAAGTTCCGGGGATACATTGAAGGTCTTCCGGTTACTATTATAACCGACCATCAAGCCTTGAGGTGGCTGATGTCACTAAAATCACCCACTGGCAGATTAGCAAGATGGGCCCTACAATTACAAGCATATGACATGACGATTAAATATGCTCCTGGTAGAAGTAACGTCGTGGCTGATTTCCTTTCAAGACCGCCATGCGTCGCCGAAACAGTTCAGACTTGTGGAATTTGTACTGTGACCGTGGATGTACCCCAGCGGAGCCCTGCCGAAATAAGGGAAGAACAATTGAAAGACAAAGGATTGAGCCATATTGTAAAGGATCTGGAAAACATAAATAATGATGAGAAGGCTGTGTATTGGAGTAACAAAGGTTATTTGATGAACAATGGGCTACTCTACCGACACAGCCCTCATTCAGACGCCGATGAGGCACAGTTAGTTGTACCTGAACACGAATGGGTCAATATCTTGAAGACTTATCACGACAGCCCCTTAGCAGGCCATTACGGATCAGACAAGACCCACCGGCGAATATCTCAGAGATATTACTGGCCTGGAATGAGGAAGTTTATCGATGGTTATACGAAGACCTGCCTGGAATGTCAGCGATACAAATCATGCAATCAGAAGCCTGCGGGATTGCTCCAAACAACAGTAATGAACCAGCGGTTCGAGGTCATATCTTTCGATTTGTTTGGCCCATTACCCTCTTCACCTGATGGAAAAACCTGGATTCTCATAGTGGAAGATGTGACAACGCGCTGGGTGGAACTTTTCGCCCTACACCAAGCTACTGCGGAGAGTTGCGCCATGACACTCATCAATGAAGTGTTCCTTCGCTTTGGATTTCCTCGGCGCATGATAAGCGACAACGGTCCTCAGTTCGTCAGCGCTGTCATGCAGCAAGTCGCTTTTACCTTGAATATAAAGCATGCATTCACACCGGTATATCATCCCGAGACGAATCCAGTGGAAAGGAAGAACAGGGACCTGAAGCCACAATTAGCGATTCTAGTCAAAGATAGACATAGGGACTGGCCAGATCATCTCCCAAGCATTCGATTCGCGATGAATACTGCCGACTGCCTCTCTACCGGGTTTAGTCCAGCTTTCTTGACCTTCGGTAGAAACCTAAGGACTCCAGATGATACATCGCATGATTTCCGGAAAATTCTACAATCTGAAAATTTCATACCAGAAATCACCCCAAAGCTTATGCAAATGGCCACTACCTTGCAAAAAGCTCGCGAGATACAGGAGCATGGAGAAGAAAGACGCAAAAAATACGTAGATCAACACCGCCGGGAGGACCCTAGCTATGATACTGGCGACCTCGTACTCACGACTAATCATTCATTGAGTAATGCTACAAAAGGCGTCAGTAGCAAATTTGCTCCGCGGCGCGATGGTCCTTATGTTATCAAGAAACGACACGGCCCAGCATCATACGAGATTGCGGATCCACATCATCCCGATGTTGCAATGGGCGTGTACCATTCTTCGGCCTTGGTGCCCTTCGTAACTGACTCCCCTGAGTTGCCCGCTCCAGTACAACCATTAAGGAAAAGGGGACGTCCACGTAGGGAGAAACCCGACGACAATAGTAGCGGCAGTCAAGCCCAGAAAAGAGGAAGACCCAAGAAAGAAACTCCTAATCCTGGATCATCATCGGGACGACTTCAGATCCAGAGGGGGAGCCTGTAACAATACACATCATCACGGGCGGGCGCAGCGCGTCATCGCCCGGCGTCACTGCCCCCACCGAGCGCCCCACCGTGGACCGCCGCCGGCCGGCGGGCCTATATAAGACGGCCCGGCGCCACAACGCGAGTTAGTATCCACTGCGCTCGCAGACAGCTTCAACCTCTCTGGTTGGACTGCTCTGGGAACCAGCTCGCCTACTAAATTACATGTACTGTGTTTACGAACCAGTTGTTGATACTTTGTTAGTGTAAAATTAACGCATTAAAGAAGACATTAAATATTTGTAATCAGTGTTTAAATTAAACCTGTTACAATAATGTATTTACATAAATTTCTTAATAATGTATAGGTATTATTGTATGTAGTATATGTATTATTATATTTAATATGATTTTTTATTGAGTCGGTATGCATTGAGTGTTAAGATTTGCTGGTTTGGTCATCAAAAAACTCATTAAGGGTGTAGTAACATTTTTCAATGAGGAACCGTTTTAATTTATTTATAAACACGTTATATTTTTCTGCTTCTTTTTGTGTTTCGTACAGCGTTATATATTTTTTTGACATAACTAAGGTGCCAGACGAATGCATGTGAAGTCGGGAGCTTGGTAGGTTTCGTCTGGTTTTGTGTCTTAAGTTATATTCTGTCTTATTGTCACGTGTATTGTAATATTCTGGGCGGTTTCTGACAAATTTACAGATTTCCAAGATGTAGGTGCATATCAAGGTAAGTATTTTGTGGTTTCTAAAATGTGGTCTACAGCTGTCGGTTTGTTCTATATTTGTCATTATTCTAATTAACTTTTTTTGTATGGTAAATATGGTCTGTGAGTCTGTACTATTGCCCCATAGTATTATGCCATAGCTTATCCACGCTTGGGCATAAGCATAATATGTGGCAAGTGCGGTTTTAAAGTTGGTGGATTTTTTTATTTCATATAAGGCGTAGGAAAATTTCGATAACTTTGATTTAATTTTTTGTATATGTGATTTCCAGTTGATATGTGAGTCTATTGTTAAGCCGAGTAAGGTAAATTGATTTACTTGTTCTATTTGGATGCTATTGAATTTAAAGTCAATTTTAAGGGGGGATTTTTGTTGAGGGTGAAAAGTCATAAGTTTGGTTTTTGAGAAGTTGATTTCTAAATTATGGTGTTCCATCCAGTTTACTGCTGCAGAAAGGAGAGTGTTAAGTTTATTATCTAAGTTCATATTGTTTTGGCATGACGTGATAAGTGATATATCGTCAGCAAACAGGACGCATGGTTCTTTTATGGTCTTAGGGAGGTCATTGATGTAGATGAGGAACAAAAGGCACCCTATTACACTTCCTTGAGGAATTGATGCATTTACAGGTTTGCATTCAGATCTTATCTTAGATATTTGTTTGGTTTGATTATCAAAATATTCTATCTCCACAAGTTGTTCTCGGTCTCTAAGATATGAAACAAACCAATCATGAGCTTTTCCCCTTATTCCTATTCCTTTAATTTATCCAGCAGTATGTGAAATTGTACCCTATCGTAAGCCTTTGTCATGTCGAGCAGTATACCTATCGCGTAGTTCTTGTTGTCGATAATATTTAAAGCTTCTTGGATATATTTGTATACTGCCAGGGTTGTGGTTCTATTTTTACGAAAACCATTCTGGCAGTCGTCTAGTATATTATATTTTTCACAGAAATCATAAACGCGCTCGCACATTGCTTTCTCGAATATCTTCGAGGCTGTAGGTAGTAAAGCTATGGGACGGTAGTTATTTGGGTCTGTTTTGTCGTTCTTCTTGTGATTGGCTTGGATTTTTTAAGTTGGTTTGGGAAGGTTCCTTCTTCGAATGATTGATTTATTAATTTATAGAATGGTAGTGTTAGTTCGTTCGCACATTGTTTAAGTAAGGAGGGAGGGAGCTCATCAACGCCATAACTTTGTTTGTTTTTTTTTATGATGTTATTTACTTCGTAGGGATCTACAGGTTTGAGAAACATAGTATTTTCTATTTGACGTAGTACGGGGAAACCTTTAGGGGTAGGTGTAGTTGTTTTTTCACCAATGGACATAAAAAAGTTGTTAAAAACGTCAGCAACCTGTGAAGGTTCATTGACCAGACTATTGTTTAGGTTTAATTTTATATTGTGTTTTTCGCTGTTAATTGTTTTATTTGTATTTTCATTAATGATCCTCCACATGGTTTTTGTTTTATTTGAGGATTTATTTATTCTTTTATATATTGTAGCTTTTTTGCTGTTGTTACAGATTTTTTTAATATTTTTTCGTATTTTTTGTAGTATTGTAATAATACGGGGTCATTTGATTTTTGTGTGAGGATTTTTAGGAGTCTTTTGTTTTTACAGGATATTTAATACCTTTTGTTAGCCAGTACTTTTCTTCTTTGCATTTAATTTAATTTTTTTTAAAGGAATACATGAATTGAGAATGTTTGTTAGAATATTATTAAAACGTTATAATTTTCGTTTATGTTGTTAGTTTTTATTAAGATGTCATTCCATTTTATTTTGTTAAGTTCGGATTTAAAAGTTTGTATGTTTTTGATAGTAAATAATCGTTTTCTTGTGTGCCATATTATGTTTTTGTTTTGTTTATTCGATATTGTATGTAAGATGGTGGCATTGTGGTCGGAGAAACCGAATTCTTCAACCGTTGTGTATGTGTTATTGTTTTTAAAGTTAGTAAATATTAAGTCTAAACATGTCGAAGTAGTCTGTGTTATGCGTGTAGGAACTTTTATATGTTGGTTAAACTTATATTCTAACATGAGATCTAAGAATAAATTTGTTCTTAAATTATTTTCCAAAGTATTAATATTAAAATCTCCACCTAATATAACATTACGCTTTGAAAATTTCTTACTTATTAAGGACATAATTTGTTTTAGTTTAATTATAAATTGATCTTCTTCCTTTCTATTCCAATAACAACTCAGAATTAACATATTTTCCTTTTTTATCTCTATTGCACAGATTTCTAAACAATACTCAATAGACATATCACAAAAATCACTTATCTCTACATAGTCAATTTGGTCCTGCAGTAGGATGCACACGCCGCCGCCGGTTCGGGAGCTGCGACAGTACGATGCTGCAATTTTGTAGCCATCAAATCGCAGGGTATCCAGTTTTTCTTGTGATAGCCAAGTTTCACTTAAGCACATGACATTGTATATGGGTTTCTCGTCAATAAATGCTTCTAGTAAGTGTTGTTTGTTGTAAATACTTTGGATATTTTGAAATAAAATTTTAAATTCTTGGTCCGTGGTTTCGAAAAATATAATTTTTACGATTTGTATCTTCTCTATTAGTTTCATGCGTATTGTTTTTTGTAGTGGGAGAAGGTACGCAGTTGTTTATTGTTTCGTCGTTTCTTTCAGCATTGTTTTGGGTATTTGTTATTTCCTTGTTAACCAATATTCTTTTTCCTTCTATGAACAATTGGTTGTTTCTTATTGTTGCGTGGAGACCGTTTTTACGTGCTTTTAGCATTTCGTCACGTAGTATTTTTCTTTCATTACGGGCGTAATCATTTAAGAATTCAGAAACGTATATTCTAGTTCCTTGAAAGTAATGCCTATTTTCAATTATGTATTTTGCTGTTCTTTTGCTCAGAAGTTCGATGACTAAGGGACGGTTTTTTATATTACTTCTTCCTATTCTGTATGTTTCTTCAATGTAACCCGTAAGGTCTAATTCAAGGATTTCGTAGAACAACTCAATTATCCTGCTTTGGAGTTCGCAATCAGTTTCATTGTAGTTTTCGGGGAATCCATAGAGTACAATTTTCTTTGAGTTTTCGTTATTAATTTGGTATTTATTAGTTGGTAGTTCAGTTGTGTTTAAGGTAGTTTCTGTTAGTTTTAGGTTTTGTATTTCTAGTTTTATTGAAGAACATATGGTTTCTAGATTTTCTATCTGTTTAGTCAAGTTACTTATTTCAACTTTATTGTTATTAACGCCATGAGTAATTTCTCGGAAGTTTGGTGAGAAGTCTATTTTTATACCGTTGAGGGCCTTACAGATTTCAGCTGCAATTAATTGTTTAATCTCGGTAACTACGCATAACAAGTTCACATACACATGACATCCTGACCCGGAACAACAATCTGTAGATCACACAGAGTTGTTCCGTGCGAGAATCGAACCCGCGACACGTTGCGCGGCAGCCAGTTGCTCTACCACCACGCCAACCGTGCAGTATTTCTTATTACAATCTCGTTAAGTACTTTATTGACCACGATTGAGGGAAAAGGAGTCTTGAGTTTTTATTTCACAGTGGGGCGAAGTGCTATTGAAGAGCTTTGGAGTTAGAATAAGATTTTATTGGAAAGGCTAACTCCCTATTTCATTTTGCTCATAATATGTATAACTGGTGATATGTGTGTGTTAAATCATATGAGCGTATTCCTTTAAACCTTCGAGGTCTAAAATGCATGTCTTTATATGATACTAGCTTCTTCCGCGCGGTTTCACACGGCTCAGCTCCTATTGGTCGTAGCGTGATGTTTTATAGCCTATAGTCATCCTCGATAAATGCGCTATCCAACACAAAAAGAATTATTCAAGTCAGACTTGTAGTTACGGAGATTAGCGCGTTCAAACAAACAAACAAAAAAAACTCTTCCGCTTTATTGTATAATAGTATAAGATGTTATTCCTACTTTGATTTGTATCAAGTCTAATCCTGAAAATATCTAAGCAAACTTTATAACTGCGATAATAAACCTGTCTTATCAATTTTCAGATCAAGATGAAGGCCTCTCAGTGAAGCACGTGGCGTACGCCCGGTACCTCCGCAACCACCGACTGATCAACGAGATATTCTCTGATACTGTCGTACCTGACGTACGATCCGTCGTCACGACCGCAAGGATGCAGGTAAATTACTTGAAAATGTTTTATTATTACAACAGCTTTACATAACATAACATCACGCTTTTTATCCCCGAAGAGTTAAGCAGAGGTGCACATTACGGCATTTAATGCCACTGTACAATGTAACACCCACTTTTCACTATTTATGTTAGGAGTCCCATGTAAAAGGGGGTGAGCCTATTGCCATATACCGGGCACAATTCCAGACTCCGTGTTACTACTGAGATTTTTTTGGAAAACCCCAGTAATACTTTGCACGACCCGGGAATCGAACCCGAGACACCTTGCCCAGTGGCACATATACAAAAAAAAATATGGTTACAAAGACTCTGAAGCAATATTGATGTACTTTCTTGATGGTCTACTTGATGTACTCTCAATATTGATGTGGCAGTACTATGTGTAGACATACCTCGTTTTTCACTATCGCATCTCAGGTGGGGCAAAGATTATTGTGTTATCAATTTACAAAATTTATTATTGTAAGTAAATTATTTATGACAATTACATTTTTCTTCTTCAGATCTTGAAGAAACAAGTGCAGTCCCTGACGATGCACCAGAAGAAGCTGGAGGATGAATTGCAGCAGATCGAAGAAAAATTTGAAGCCAAGAAGCGCAAGTTTATTGAGAGCAGTGAAGCATTCCAGGAGGAACTTAAGAAGGTAACAAAATGTTTATAAGTTGGTTTTTCTTACATATCTGGCTTTTAGTGGCCTACAATGTCAAGATGTCTTGTGTTCGAGGCAAGATTACATTACTTTCAATTTACGCAAGTCTGAGTTAAAACCCACGGAGGGAAATGTCGATTATATTACAATTATCACCGTTTTTTCTTATTAAAATGCGTTAATATGTGTACCCTCATGTCCTTGGAGATATAACTATCAGTTGAAAAACATCTATTATTGAACAAAACTTTACTCCCTTAGCTCCCTTCCGCATTGGCAATTAACCGGGCGGCTAGCCGCTCTCTGCGGTTGACCACTATTCCATTTTAATATGCAAACGCGTCTGTCGAACCGCCTAGGCGGCCAATGTATGCGTAAGAGGATTTAATTCTCTATCTCTCACAACTTATTAATTCATACTTTTATTTATTCCCAGCACTGCAAGCCAGCGGTAGACGAGGATACATTCTCCCGTATGGTGGAGCGAGCGATAGAACAGATGAAACGCGGCATCACTTCCACCACGCAGCCACTCGCTCCGCTCAATGCTGTGCCTCAAGAGAGGAAGGATGAGGTGAGTTTACTTGATATAAAATTATAAAGACATTAAATTTAGGTTTACTGTAAAAATAATGGTTTTCATTCAACAACCTCAATTTAAAAAATTTATCCAGCCCATGGACCAGGACCAGCCTCAAGTAAAACCAGAAACGAACGGCCCCAACCTGCCAACACAGGTGGACAAGGTGTCCACCACTGAAGTAAAGCCGGAGAGTGTCACCACAGAGCTGAAGAACGAGTCAGAAGCTAAGGAGAAGGAACCAGAGGAACCAGCTAGTAATGGACCGGAGAGTGAAGGTAAGAAGATGGGAAATGGAGTTTATTTGCTATAGTAATACTTAAATGCACTTTTTGAGGGAGGCAAATCAACCAATTACTTCTCCCGCCCGGGTAAAGCGTGAGGGAGTGTCAGACTTACCCCCTGGCCACAGCCAAGCGCGGCGCGAAATGCGGCGCGACAAGCGGTGAGCGGGGAAAACAAATGGTAGGCAACGTATGAAGTATGCCACAGCTAACGGCGACGCGAATTGCGGAGCGACCTGCGGCGCGAAAAGCGTCGCGCGGCGGCGACGGGCGGCGCGGTGTGCGAGTGAAACAAATGCACTGGGGAGTATCGAGGCGGCCACAGCCAGAGCGGCGTATGCAGCGGCAGCGAGGGGACGTATTTGTGTTCGCGCGAACTGAACAAATCGTTTTGAAAATTTCGCTCCGCATCAAATGGATACCGAAAAACTTATTAGTGAGATATTGATAGTTAGATTAGATAGTTTGGATAGTTCCTATATTCGTGATAAAGCGTGTGAAATTCGCCAAGGTTTTTCCTTTTTTCATTAACTGAGTGCGTTCCAATTTTAGAGTTAATGATATCTTGAGCTAAAAACGCATTAGTCTCAAGACAATATCGTGCCACTTTTGATAGGGCCATTATAAATAATACTGAGTACGTCCACCGCTGACGCCGCCGCGGTCGCAATTAGTAGAGCTGTGGCATACCAACGCAAATCGCGTCGCCCGCCGCGCCTCCCGTCGCATCGCGCGCCGCACCGCTAGAAGCTGTGGCCAGGGCCTTAGTGACGGAAAAACCACCCCGTTCCTACTCCTGCACTTCGAGCCGGAGCCCCGGCAATCCAGTTACTCGTTAAGTCGCGGTCGTGTTTAGTTTGACTCTCCCACACTTAATTGCTTTTGGGTGCTGATCAAGAGGTAATAAAACTCATTTTAATTTTAAATACTCAAATGTCCTAGGTGAACGTAAAGAAGACAAACCTGCACCTAAGCTAGATAACAAGGAGGCTGCGCCCCCTGGTGTCCCCGTTGGCCCCGGAGCCCCCGTAGCCCCCGGTGCTCCTGTACCACCTGGAGCCCCCGGAGCCCCGGGCGCTCCGCCTGCACAGCAACCTGGACACCCACCACACATCACGTCTCCACCGCATCATCGTGAGTTTTACTGTAAAATATCGTACTCTATTGAAAAACTTGTAATGTAGATAATAAAGTTGGTCAGCTGGTCTGCAATAAATAAATAGTTAAACTTATACCCCAAAATATGTGATGTGTTTGTAAACACTTCATAAAGGTAAAGAAAGAAAGGAAAATTGTTTATTTGCATACCGTCACAAAGTACAATAACACACAAAAAAAAAATTAAACAGTGAAGACGCCGCAAAAAGGTCAGAGCTCAGCTTAAATCCCGTGACCCGAGTGCGCTCGAGTCGCGGCATCATACAGCTACATCTAATCACCCCAAATAGCACTTATCTGGTAATTCTTTTTAGTGACTCCCTAGAAACTCAGATCTGTTACTGGAGTGACACATTGACGCGACTCCGGCAACTCCGGATGGAACTACGAGTGTGTCATATGAAATATTTACCGTAGTTACATTTATGATACCCGAAAAATCACCGTAAAAACATTCACTAAGTTAAAATTTTGAGTAAAGCAATAATTTGAATTCACAGCTATGATGATGCCACCGAACCCTAACGCGCCTGCCCACCCTGGACCACCTCCTCACGGCGGACCACCACCACCTCCAGGTGAAATTTATTCAATAGTGTATATTGCAATGTAATAAAAAATACAAATATCTCGTTATTACTTGAAGCTCTTGAGATAAAAATACACGAAAGCATGTGATTTTTTTCCTCACGTCACCTATTTACCTGCTTTTATGTTTCTACGATTAGGCGCATATGGTGGAGCCTACGGCGGACGTTACTACGGAGGTTACGCCGGCGCGTTCGGGGGAGCGTACGGCCACGGCGCGTACTACGGGGGCGCGGCCCCGGCGGCGCACGGCCCGCCGCCCGACCACTACGCGCCGCACCACGCCATGCACCACCACGCTCAGCCACACCACCCACATGACGCCAAACGTGAGTAATGTATCGATACCAGATACCGAAATGAAATATCCAGTCTTTACTGTAGTTTTTTTTTCCGAATAAAAAAAATTTGTACGCAAAAACATAAAAACCAAATTCAATTAAGCTGAATTCCATGTTATAAGAGTTTAAACTTGATCACGAAATTAGAGATTAGTTTAATTGGTAATTTTAAGCTTCGCAATAAGAAATTGTTACTATATAAATAGTAGAGATCTGAATAAATTCCATGTAGTGAAAATTGACATTTTTTGTTGACACATTGCGCCACTGAAGCAAATGCTCTAGTATATGATGTTTAAAATATTACGCCCCAATAAACGTAAATAAGTACATACGCGAGAATAGAAACCCTTGCCTTACAAAACTCGCTGAAAATCGTTTATTTTCTATTTCAGAGGAAGAACCACAAGCAAAAAAAGAAGGTGAATGATCGTCACCTAAACGCGTCGTCAAACGACGGCGCAAGTCCTCGCCGAAGGACGCGCAGTGAACTGATCGTGTAACGTGACGTCACTGCTCACAACATAACAACTGTTGTTCTATAGACTTTTTAAAGTGAACTCACAGACAAGTGACTGTTTACTAGTGTAGTGTCTATTTTAAATGGTGTAAGATTTCAATCCAAAATCGACCTTATTACTTAGCCCAGATGAGGCAGTATGAATAAGTCTCAAGGTGAAGGAATCATTGAATTCGAAACCAACATCGCACATCTCCGAATAGAAAAGCAAAGTTTAAGCGAATTTGAACCTTACAGACTTAACTTTACAATCCCATATACAAAAATTCAATTAACCTATTAGAAATCCGTCAAAATAATTACAACTTTAATTCTTATTGATCTAATACATTCTGTATTTTTGACATATAAAATGTAGGTAATATTTTAATACATGAATGATCTAGATATAGATACTTTGTATGCACTAAGTTATGTATATTTGTAATAGCTAGGGTCTATTATTAATTACTTAGTATAAAAATCAATGTAAGAATAAGAACTGCCTATAAATTACTTGAAATATGAGGTCATAGCTTAGAATTGTCTGTCCGATTATCGCCGATGAATTAGACCTCTCAATGCGTACAAAATCTTAACGAAAATTGTACATTAATTGCATTAGATCTTATAAATGTTATTGCTGAATAAAAATAATATACACTATAAGAATAAATAGCGATGTACTATTGTAAGTAGAAGTTAGTCGTCTCCATGTTGAATATCCATATTGCTATTTTGTGAAAATATTAAATGTCAAGTCGTACTTTAGTAGCGGGAGTTGTGGGTTGTTTTATAATTTAAGATTGATACCAATCCATAATTAAATGTGATTAATAAATATGCAATCATTTGTAATCAATCATTGAATACACAAGACTAAGGAATGGTTTAGAAATATACTTTTAAATGCTTATAATAAAATTGTTTTATTATCTGGTTTCCGAATTTTCGTTTTAACTTTTTTTACTTTAAAGGTGTGTTGTTATTTGCGGTGATATTAAATTCATTTGTTAGGAAAGCATTCGTTTTGGAACTCGTAAAAGTACAAAATCTTTTTTTTATATAAAACGTTGCCCCACACTAGGATTTTCTCATGTGTCGTGGGTGCGTTTACAAACGCAAGTTCGCTTACACATTGCACCCAGACCCGGAACAATAATCTGTGGATCACACAAAGAGTTGTTCCGTGCGGGAATCGTTCCAATTGGTTTCTAAAGCTAGATGAAGACGGCAAATTACTATTATGCTACTTATTTCATGATCATGCGCAATATCGAGTTAATAGATTTGCCGGGGGCACCACGACCTGTTTCCTTGTAGCAACAAAATTTGCTGAGCCTTTGCCCAAACCTTGAGTACCGTAAAATAGGGTGGATAAGTGTTAGAATATTTTCCCAACGTTTTTTCACCCCTCTTCTGTATCTATTAACCCCGTTTTAGTGTACATGCTTTTATCAGGGTCTTTTTTTCGACTGTAGACCACTTTTCTAGCCAGCCTGTGTCCTTCACCGCTATGAAACCCCATTTGATCAAGTTCCGTAGTTCCATAACATATACTTGGCTGTCTCAAATAACATTTAGATCTTCAAATACAAGGAGGACAAGGTAATATTTAGAGCAGAGGTGGATTAAACCTAGATAGCGCCCTAGCCAAGCACCTCATAGGCGGATCAAATTTTTTCTCTCAACGCGCGCCCCTCTGTTACCTGGCGCCCAAGACACTTATCTAGTGTACCCTAGGGATAATACGGCTCTGATTTAGATGGTGCTCAACAGGACCTAGAAGTACTTCACCCCCAAAGTAAAAATTTGTTTTCAGTACCCTTCTAGTCACAGATGAGACCACATGTGGAGTACCAACTGATTTCACCACGTGGAAGTGTTAACTCGTTGAGTACCGTCATTATAGACACAATTAAAGGACAATAGGTTGCGGTCACCGGTGACCGCTCGGTGTTTGACAGTAAGAAAGGTAATAAAACACTCAGGAACTTAATTATTACATTTTTATTTTTCTTAAATTATGTACATACATACATATTTTGTATTAATAGTTATATTCCTATGTCATGGAATATAGTTATCACATTTCACATTAGGTACATGTTGTTATATGAATTCGGAATATTTAGTCGCATGATGTTGGACAATATCATAAATGATTAGCTACTGTCCTAAGTCCTACCTCAAATACTGCGTTAGCTTAGTGATCGTAACTACGATTGCTAGAACGAAGTCTTAAGGTTCATTTAACAGTCCGAGTATGGATAGGGCAGTCTTCAATGACAATAAGCGCACCGCCTATTTCATGAGACCAGCATTAATCTTATTAATACCATACCATAATAATATATCATGAGTGCAAGGTTCCAGTTTGACTAGGTTGCTTACATAAAATAACAATCTTTATAAAGTTTTTTACTGCTTTCATAGTAAAATAATCATACGCCACTCAATTTTATGACGTTCTCAAAAATATCTCTTCAAAGACAGATATTTTTTTTAAACCCACGACACAGGGGAAAATCCTAATATGGGGGTAACATAGTAGGATTTTCTCCTGTGTCGTGGGTGAGTTTACAAACATACAAGTTCACATACACATGACACCCAGACCCGGAACACCAATTTGTGTAGCACACAAAGAGTTGCTCCGTGCGGGAATCGAACCCGCTACACGTTGCGCGGCAGCCAGTTGCCCAGCCACCGCGCCAACCGTGCAGTCAATATAGCTTGATACTTAGATCTACAACTTATTTGAAGACTTTTTCAGCTGGGTAATTGTAATAATGCTGAAAATACAGTGAGAGATAAAAGAATAGTCATTATTTGTGCGTTATTTGCGCTTGAGGTCGGTCTATCGGTAACAATGGCGGGAGGTCGACCAGTAACAGTGGGAAACGTAGAACTATAGATTGGTCTAGTAGTTGTATCATTTATGGTAGTTTCATTAGTTGTCGTCGTAGTCCTTATTGTCACTGTTGTCCGTTTGGTCGTGGTGGTCCTCCTCGTCGTCGTAGTCCTTCGAGTAGTCCTCGTGGGTCTTTTATTGAAGATTATATTTCTGTTCACGTTGCCCAATGGATTTAAGACGTTCTTTGGATCCTGGCAAAATGTGTCGTCTACGTTTGGCGGTGTGTATCGGAAAGCGTCTACTAGTACCACTGATTCTGCAGCAGCTTTCCCCACTATGGATATCTTTAACAAATAAATAAACAATGTTAAATGTTTGGATCCTTTTGAGTGGGTATACTTATTGATGTTGGATTTTTCGTTGAATTGCACTATGATAAAGTGATTTATTTACTAATAGTACCTATATATAGACGATTTTTTCATCTAGGTAAGTAAGTATACATAAGTATACCTAGTTGATTTTATTATAATAACTAGCAACCCGGCCCGGCTTCCCACGAGTGCAATATGCATGTATTATACATATAAACCTTCCTTAAGAATCACTCGATTTATTAAAAAAAGCCGCATCAAAATCCGTTGCGTAGTTTAAAAAGTTTTAGCATACATAAGGACAAACAGACGGCGGATAGCGACTTTTTTTATATTATGTAGTGAGTATAAAATAATCACATAGGTAATCTGAATAAATAATAAAATTGCACAAATTATTGTAATTATTTACGTGTATTAAAATGTTTTCTGTGATACTTATCTAGAGTAGACAATTTGGTACCTAATTACAGTTTTATCGCCTGCATTTGAGGTTCTAATCATATCTAAAAGTCAAGTAAGTAGACACCTGATCTACGTAATCATCAATTAATCATACACAACAGGCAAATATTTATTTTGCTGTCCCTCAATCAAACGATAAATAAAATCAGATTACCGATTTATTTGCAATAGATATCTACCTAAGTACGCAGGTACTAGATAGGTACTGATACGTATTTTTTTATCTTTTGTCTCGGGCGGGGCCTTATAGGTATGCCACCTGTGCCCCTCCGACCCAATCCGACCCTGGATGCTCATGCACCGAATAGATATATTCGGTCAGGTCAACAACTTCCTATAACCCCGTACGTTTTCTTCATTTCTTCATTTAAAAAAAACTTTGCCCCACATTAGGATTTTCTCCTGTGTCGTGGGTGCGTTTACAAACATACAAGTTCACATACACAATGACACCCAGACCCGAAACAACAATTTGTGGATCATACAAAGTGTTGTTCCGTGCGGGAATCGAACCCGCGACACGTTGTACGGCAGCCGGTTGCCCAGTCACGGCACCAACCGTGCAATCATCTATTGATAAGATTTTTAGTTTTGTACCCTCACTAGGTGACGCTACTAAAGACTTAAATCTTTTTAATTTTGCGAACGAAGTTACTTTAAATTGGTAAACTTTTAGTTGGTGATTGTATTTATAAAAAAACTTTTATATTATATCATCAAAATGAGAATTGGAGATAAAAAGACTACCTCAATATTAGGTGAACAAAGGACGCTCTAATCAGTAGATTAGGTAATCTCTTATAAAAATAGAAATGAAACAATATACTCACAATTCCTTCATAACTGTCTGTTGTACCATTTAAGGTGATCTTCAAAGTTTGCCATCCATTCGGGGAGTATCCTGAAGCCCCAGTCTCAGCTTTTGCTCTCACAAAGGATCCACCACCGGGCAGCATTTGGCTGACGAACACCTGAATCTGATCACTGACATCAGACCGTTCCATGTAAATGTCCACTTCAATGGTACCACCCGATTTCATTGTGAACACGAATGACGACGCACAACTTGGAGACCATTGAGAACTGGGTGTGATAAAAGTTGAGCTCCCTCTATCTCCGATCATATTTAGATCCTTATATTTACCGATAAACCATAGCGGGAAATTACTACAAACGCCATTGTCACTAAACAATTCATAGAAACCTTGTTCAAAGTCGTAGTTCACACACAATTC